TTCAATCTTCATGAAAAGTTTATTATCCCCTCGAAATGCGAAGTTCGGTTGTGCAAGAGTTTGCACAATAGCAATTATGTAAAACCCCACATTTTCGGTAAAGTATTAGCAATTTATTTTACCACCTCTATGTGAAAATTTATTAAATTAAAGTTTATAATAATTCTTGCATAACTAATTGTTTATATGATTGTGTGAATTATGTGATTATGTGAATTATGTGATTAGAAAATATTTTAGAAATATTATGTCGAAATAAATTATTTCCATGAACTAAAAATTTGATTCTTGCATGATGAATTTAAATGAGCATTTTATCACATTTATGCATGCACTGAATTTTAGAAAATACAAATTTACTCATGAATGTTAGGATTTTTAATTGGTGATGAAAATTAGAAAATCCTTCCTTTATTTTTGAAATTCTCGGTCCTAATACACACTCACACAAAAATTTAAAATAAAGCATATTAATTAGAAGAAGAACAAGCATTAGAAGGCTTGTACATTGAGCATAAAAAAATACCTAACTCTACCTTTTCCTAATCATTAGCTAGAGCACACTTAATCACTCCTACACTCCAACTCTAGCTAACTCAAATGTCACCCTTCATCACTCTCTCTCTCTCTCTTTCCCCACCATAGCCACCATTTTCTCAAGCTTATACCATCCAAGAGCCACCACCACACACCTCTCCAGGAAATTGCAAAATCACCCTCCACAAAATATGTATTTCCCATTCTTCTCCATAGGTTTTGAAGTCTTCAAGAACTCTTTTAATACCTCCCATGTCCAAGATCAAAATGTAATCTCAAACTCCACTCTCACCATCTATAAACATTATAGTATTTCAACAAGAGGAGAATTTTCGGTTAAGCTTAAGTGTAAGCTTCTTTTCCAATTTTTCGAAGATCTAAGCTCTCTTTCCTTCAAGTTTTTCTTCTTATCATCTTAAAGTTATAATCTAACCCTCTATATCTTCTTGTATAAGAGAGAAAGGAGCTAACAATTCCTCCCCTCCCATTTTTTTTTACAACGAGTAGAGGCGAGAATACTTGTATCGTTGCTCAAATATGCAACACCACTATTATTTCGGTTTTTCTTTGAATTCTTGACTAATACTTGCATATTATGTGATTATATTTCTTAGATGATGATTGCATGTTAGTATTGTAAAGAGAAAAGTTGTTCTTGATTTTTTATGATATTTCGAATTTTTTGGGAAAAATGCCTAATTTGCTTATTTGGTTTGATTAGTGTCTTGCATGTGTTTATCTAGTGACTGACTGTTGATTTGTTAAATGAAATGGAATTTTTGGCTTAACTATGAAACTTTCGAAATTTTGCCTCTTTAACTAATGAAATGGGAAATTAATGAAATAAGAGTAGAATAGTATGGAAATTAATGAAATTTTGCCTCTTTAACTAATGAAATGGGAAATTATTGTTTGTGTGTGATGTTTCAAGTTTTTGGGAAAAAAATGCCTAAGTTGCTTATTTGGTTGAATTAGTATCTTGCATGTGTTTATCTAGTAATTGATTGTCGATTTAAGGTCTTGCATGTTAAAATCTAGTGTTTTCTATGAAAATTAATAAAAGGATTAAAAAGTTGTATTAAAAGACTCTTGGATGTAAAAATCTAGTGGCAAGACTTGAATAAAATCCAAGAATGGAAATCTTAAACTTTTTTCTTGCTAGTTTTTTAAATTAATGACCTTTTGATCGAATATGGATTGCCTTTGCATGCTTAGAATTTCGGTTGTCGCTTGTACTTGACTATGGATTTTATTTTTATGTCTAATTGAATATGTGAAGGAATGACTACATGGGACTTTATTTGTGTTTTGCTATGTGATCTTAGTTTTGATTGTTTATGTGTTGATCATTGGGTGTGATAATGAGAAAAATATAAGTAGATGGGTGCATGTGTGGGTGCATATTTGTAACGATTTTAAAAGTGTAAAAACTATGTTGGAAATTCTATGTGGTTCTATTTGTATAATATGCTAGTAAATACTTTTTTCAAGACCATGATGCTCAACTTATAAAGGTTCTCGAAAATTTATCAACCAGTCAAGATCCAATTTTTTCGATGACTGATGGCAAGATCTTAAAATTTCAAGGAATAATTTGCATTTCGGCAAGCAAAGAAATAAAAGAATCAATTCTCGACGAAGCACACAAAAACCACTACTCTTTCCATCCGGGCGAAACCAAAATGTATCAAGACTTGAAGAAGTTATATTGGTGGCCAGGAATGAAGAAGATATAGCCAAATACGTATCCGAATGCCTAATTTGTCAACAAATCAAAACGGAACACCAAAGGCCCGGTGAACTTCTACAATCTAACCTTATTCCCGAATGGAAATGGGAAAGAGTAACCATGGATTTCTTCCAAGGTTTCCCGAAGACTCTTAAAGGATTCGATTCAATATGGGTAATAATCGATCGCCTAACTAAGTTCGCGCACTTCTTACCGGTCAAGACTACTTTTAGTCTAGGAAAATTGGCCGAACTCTATATCCGAGAAATCGTCCGACTCCACGGAGTTCCGATATCAATAATTTCCAACCGAGATCCCCAATTCACTACGAAATTTTGGAAAAGCTTGCACGAAACGATGGGAACACGTCTAGCTTTTCGGAAAGGACAATCAAAACCCTCGAAGATATGCTTTGAGCATGTATAATGGATTTTGGCGGCATTTGGGAAAGCCGTCTACCTCTCATTGAATTCTCGTACAACAACAGCTTCCAATCTTCGATTGGAATGGCACCTTAAAAAGCATTGTACGGAAGAAAGTGCCGTTCTCCAATCCATTGGGACGAAGTAGGAGAGCGAAAGTTATAAGTACCCGAGCTAGTCCAACACACCGTCGACATAATCAAGAATATTTAGGAAAAAATGAAAACGGCCCAAGATGCAAGAATTATTCTAAATTCTAATTTAATAAATTTTCACATAGATGTGGTATAATAAAATACTTATATTTTACCGAAAATGTGGGGTGTTACAATCTTCTCCCCTTAAAAAAGATTTGTCCCCAAAATTTGCACATTTTTCAGTTAGTTCCGGATAACGACTCACAATCTCATCCTTAAGTTCCCACGTTGCCTCGTCCGGGAAATGATTTCTCCAAAGGATTTTGACTAGGCAAATTTCTTTGTTTCGAAGTTTCCTAATCTTTAGGTCTAATATGAGAGGGTTCTTCGGTAAAGGATAGGTTCGGGGATAAATCGATCGGTTCGGTTTTGAGAATGTGGTTTGGATTGGTAATATATTTTCGGAGCATTGACACGTGAAAAACATTATGGATTTTGGATAGTTGAGGTGGTAGGGCAAGGTGATAGGCTTGGCCACCGATTAGATCGAGGATTTTAATGTTGGGTTTCGGGCACGTGTACGCAGCGGAGAACAAAAATTTAATGCGATTTAAACGACTTTAAAGCACATAAGCACATGCCCGACAAATTAAAATCAATTAATTGCGTACCTTTGCGCTTCCAGCGAAATTAAAAACAACATACATGTTAAATAATTTAACCGAATTTAAATCAATTAACATGCTCGCGTTTAAACCAAATAACATGCTTGCAATGATTAAATCGATTACACGTAATCACATAAAATCACACAAAAGCAAACATGTATATATAGAGTTTAAACGTAAACGAAACAAGAACATTGAGTTCGTGTGTTTACCTCTTGAAGCGTGAGGTAGGAGCGCTTAGCAAGTAGAGATTGATACGGAAACCAATCCGTACAATCGGGGCAGCAACGGTGCAGCGGCAGCAGCGGTGAAACGGCCACGGCGGCGGGTGAATCTCACGCGCGGTCTTCCGGGGCGGCGCGTGGGGTAGCGTGCGGCTTCGGCTCGTGCGCTGCTCATCGATTCCTCGATCTTCGATCTTCCTCCTCTCGGATTTCACCTCGTATACTTCGATCTACTAAACACGTGGCACTAGACACGTAATAGTTAGAAAAACGAAAGAAAAAGAGAAGGAAAGAAACTACCGAAGCAATCGGCCGACGAACGGCCGATTCCGGTGAGATTCCGGCGACGGCGGTGGTGGCCGCGGGAGAGAGAGGCCGAGATAGAGAGGTGAGCGGCTAGGGTTTTGATTAGGTCTTGTGTGTTTGTGCAAGGCCTATAAATCAAGTATTTATAGTCCCTTGCATAAAACCCTAACGGGCTTAAGTTGGACCGGGCCCAACAGCTTAAGCTCGTTAGTTCCTTTACTCGCTCGTTTCTCTCAATTCAATGATCGGAAAATTGCAACAATTACATTTTCGGAATCATTATAATATCCTCGTCATTACGAGTGTCAACTCTCATTTTCCAACTTTCCAAAAGTGGAAACCCTAGTTCAGTGCACTTTCTAAATTTGGAAACTTCCCGATTTAGAAAGTCCACTACAATGTTCGCCTATTCTTTTCCTTTTCTTATTCTCATTCATAATTCCAAATTACGAATGTTGGATCCAATCATATTGACTTCCAATCATGCAAAGATAAACTATTTTATCTCTGACCGTTTATTCAAAGATCTCATGTGCACGAGCAGTGTGACCCTCGATGGTTCAGGTGTAAGCTAGCCGTGGGCCCACAACCCTTTGTGGTCAAAACTCGTCCCTTAGAGTTACGATTAAGATGAAGCTCGTTTCACCTTAATCACCCAACGAATCAAGATTGGCGTCTAGCAACTACGCGTCATGATTCCCTAGATACAAATGAAGTGCCTGCAAGAACCTTCAGATATAGTTAACGTACAGTACGGTCCCTTCGATTCATATGTCCCGATCGAACTAGAGGCATTGGTTCATCGAGACCTCTTTATATGTTCGATGACGGTGCGATCGTTCCAAGTGTTGTAATCGTCACGTGCATGACTTAGAGAATCGAATTCTCTAATCATCACTTAGTCAGCTCCGGCCAGAGACTTAGAATGATTACAAACTTTCAGAACACACAGGACATCCAAGACTATATATTGATGTGCCAAAAAATTTCAAAGATGACGTTTGGAATGCATTGATGGTAAGCTTTAAATTATACGTTATTTTTCAAGCAAATCTTGAAAATGTCTTTACTACTTTGCAAATTTGGTATTTTATTTAATATCATATTTTGCATAGATTTTTTATTTTATGAGACGACAAATAAATTTGGCGCATTTTATTGACTTTCTAGTACAATTTGAATCAGTTCATTTAGATTATATATGAGAGAGTTAGGCGCTACACAATATACACGGTCATTGAATTAAACTTTTAACAACTTACTAGACTGTTTTCAAAACTTAGTAAACTTCATATATGAGTTGTATTATATCCGTTACTTTTTAAGTGGAATGGGTGTTAACTTACAACAGGTTGAAAAGAAAAGAAGATTTTGGTATATAATGTTGTAATTATTCTTATTGTCTGTAGGGTGAATTCGAGCTCGATGTTCCACCACATGTTGCTCGTCCGTTAGCAGAGAAGACATGGTCTCAAAAGTTTAGGACGCACAAAAATTCATTAAGGGTAATATTAAATAAACAGGGTCATACTCAAGCCGAGCCAAAAGGTATTGACCCAATTATTTGGAGAAAGTTCGTGGAAAATGAAATGGATCCAAGAAAGGTGGACCAAATTGAAAAAAATAAGAATAATCGAGTCAACTCACAGTTTTCTCATTGCCTCGGTCGTCGCACTTATGCTCAAAAGGAATATTTAATGGTTTGTATTATTTATTTATTTTGAACTTTTATGCTATTTTTTTGGCTAATTAATGATGTTATTGTGTAGCTACAAGAAAATCCTTCAAGATCGATTACTCGAGCTGAGAAATGGTTAGCGGCACATGAGCACGTTGACGGGACTGTCTTAGAGAGTGCTAAAAATAAATATGTAAGTAACTAGTTTTAAATTTTTAACATGTTATTAATATTGAACTTGTTTATTATTAGTCAAATCTTCTTATTTGACTATAACAGGAGCAAGTAAAAGCTGCTGCAAATAAAAGAAAAATCCAAAACTCGAGTGGAGATGAAGGTACAGAGCCTTATGATGACATTGATACAGATGCGAAAAGAGAGAAAGGCAGGTGTACGTGCAGTAGGTTCATGTATCTCGAAGAAACAACTAACTCATCTTGGGATAGCAAAGTCAAAGATTCAACAAAATGAAAAAGCTCTTAAAGATGCTAGTGATGAGAAGGATGAGATTATCTCCAGAATTGACGGTCTTGAAGCTTTACTGCGTTCTTTACATTCAAAGATTGATAAAACGAGTTATACTTATGCATCTTCAAGTGAGCTTGGATCTAATTCAACAAGTCCTCCTATTTATTCAACTCAACATTTGAACATCCCTACTGTATCGCATGCCCCTGCAACCAATGCCAACGCTCCAAATCCTCGAGTTTACTTGTGTGATAAGTTTGGAAGAAAAATAGCCGGAGGATATGTAGTGACAGATGATACCTCCGGGGTGTGTCACTTCAAAATTGTTGGACCAGAGGAAAAGAAAGTTTATATTGAAGAAGTGCTTGATCCTAATGCTCGTGTGTGGGACCCTCCTCAAGGGGGTTATGATACGTTGGCAGGCTTCGTCCAAGGGGGATTTATAATTTGGTTTCAGAGCTGGTTAGTAAATATTTGAGTTTATAATTTAGTTTTACATGGACTATTTAGATGATTAACTTGGAATGGTGGATAATTTGTTCTAATAGTTGATGGTCAATCGAATTTTGTTTTGTTTTGTTTTATTTTGTTTTTCTGGATAACTTGAGTTGAACAGTTTATTTATGATAAATGATTATTTTGATGGATGGTTACATTCTATGTTTTATTCGAGATTTGGATTTTGTTTTTATTTATGAATATTTGTGCTGTACATTATAGGAATTGTTGTTACTTTGAACGATGTACTACAGGTTCAGTGGAAACATGTGTGTCGTATTCTACTCAAGCTCGTTTTTTTTATAATAATGTCGAGGTTTTAATAATTTCAATTGACAAAAAAAAATTATTTTGAAAAGCTGATTTATTTATAACAAATCTAAGCGTTACTATTATTAAAATTTGTAACGATTATATCCGTTAGCAAATTAACAAGTGTTACAACAGAATATGTTACAATTGATTTTCTAACACAACTAACCGTTAGTATTATTTACGTTTCCAACGGTGTATTTTTGTTTCTAACGAATCTAACCGTTAGCAATAGTAATTTTTTTCTAACAGTTAATTAATTTGCTAACGGAAATAGGCGTTAGAACAAATAACAAAAGTGTTACAATCAATACCGTTACAATATAACTTCTAACGGATATAAGCGTTACATTTAATTATTTTTCTAACGGGTCTGATTATTTATTCTAACGGACACATTCCGTTAGTAATGTGAACCTCTGAATTTCTAACATGCGTTTTCTAACGGAATTACGCCGTTAGTAATATTTATTGTAACGGTTATAGTTTGTTAGAAAATGCCTTTTTTGGTGTAGTGTATTCTAGCGATCGAATCCCCGACTACAATGCACAGACCTCCCACTAGATTTCGGACTGCACGAACACTGGCCCTTGGGATGGTCCTCGGTGGAACTCAGGGACATGTCACGATACAGCTGGTCCTCTAGTGAAGTCACGGTGATGTCTAGGTCATAAGGACTAATGGTGTACAACTATACCATAGATATCTCTACTCGATTATTGGGAACCACTTAGAGATTTCTAGGGTGAGGGAGTTCAGTGAACTCGTCAACTTACGAGCACCCACTTATGCATGCCGATATCACAATACCGTTTACTGATGAGATGCAGTACACATACACTAAGTGCTAGTCTTAATGGGAAAGGCCGATATCTTCATTAGTGGCGTAACCCTTCGACTAGGAACACGTTGAACAGTTATAATACTTGAGTAAATATCTCACGATCCTAACGATCAATTAATAGTACTTGTAATAACTGTAAGGACTATATCTATGCTTGTGACAAAGGGACAAAGATATAGAATGCCAAGGTGTTTTATCATTAATACGAATAAAGGTTCGTTTATTACAATAATAAATACGAAAGACCACAGCCACATGTTGGCTTGTTGGTCACCTACTCTAACATTTAAATGGTCCCATGTATCGAGGGCTTCGCTTTCCTCGTTTTTTGAATCGTATGATTCCCTTGAGTGGAGCAACTTTTAAGAAGACATGATCGCCGGCGTGGAATTCCAAGTCTCGTCTTCTTTTATTTGCGTATTTTTGTTGGCGATGGCACTTGCCTCGGGGCGATTGGGCAGTCTCGGACCATATGCCTGGGCTGCTTGAATCGAAAACAATAGTTGGTCCCGGCAACACAATTGTCGGAGTGCTCCCGATTGCATTTAGGGCAAAAGGGTTTGTTGCTCGGTTGCTTTCTTTTGGCGTTGTTGAGCTTCGGTTTCTTCCATGGTCGAGAAGAGGCATCGTGAGGAGGTAGCCATTGTCGGATTTCCATCTCATCTTGCTTGGCTTCCAAGGCTTTATCTACTACTCCGTGGAAAGTGGAAGCGGAGGTTAGTCGAACGTCATGCTTCATTATCGGGTTGAGATCCCTTAGGTAGTGATTCATCTTCTCGGTGTCGTCTTTGTATATGAAAGATGCGTATAGGCTTCCTTGCTCGAAACGACGAGTGAATTCGGTAACGGGTAGGTTTCCTTGATTGAGTTCAATAAACTCTTTAAGCTTTTGTGCTCGGACATTCTTGGAAAAGTACTTTTCGAAGAAAAGAACTTTGAAAGCTTCCCAAGTGGTATTTGCTGAATCGATTTCATTCTTTGCGCATTTCCACCAATTTTGGGCTTTATTCTTCAACAAGAATAATGCGCAATGGATTTGGTCGCTGTCGTTCATCACCATGTATTCGAAGATAACCTCGAGGGACTTGATCCATTCTTCGGCTTTGGTTGGATTTGGGCCGCCATGGAACTCAGTAGGATGCATTTTCAAGAATCTCTCGTAGATGGCTTGTGGGGCTGTATTTCGAGGTGGAGTAGGTGGATGAGGGTTTCGATTTTGGAGGTTAACAAGGCGGTTGATTTGCTCATTTTGTTCTCCGACGAGGGCAGTTAAGTCTTGGATGGTACGAGATTGATTGTGTGGGTCGTTAGCGGCATTTTGAGCTTGAGTTCTTGTTCCCGACATTTTAATACTTTTAAGAATAAAGAAACAATTCACATTAGTCATAAGGAATTCACATAAAACATATACCTTCCCGAGTGCTTAGTTGAAGTCGTGCTTCGGGAATCGTGGAGATCTTTAGTTCATATGGAGATTTCTGGGGTCGTTGCTCTTATACCACCCATGTGTGACACCCCTCTCACGATTACTCATATTATATGTAATCTCAGCGTGAGACTTTTAGAACAATTATTATTGTGGATATAAATTTACATCAAAAATGTTCTTTTAAATCAGAGGGAGAGAGATGACACTTTACTAAACCCTAAGCAATCAATAAACACAAATACATACTACATGCAAGACTAGAAAATAACTAGGTATGATGGTCCTAATAAAAATTCGGACATATTCAGTGGAGCAACTTCAAAAATTAATTCCTCTTAAACTACTTATGAAAATGACCCTATATGTTTACTATACCTTCTACCACGAGTCTTAATCACCCAGTGAAAACAGTTTTGAAAGACACTTGACCATTAGAGAGAAATAAATAAAATGGCACAGCCACTCAATTCAAAATCCACAACATGGGAGGGAGATTTGAAATTTCCTATTAAATTCCCCAGTGACTCAAAAACTACCAAATTTTATCTAAGGCCATAAACAAGTTGAAAACATTTTTCAAGTGGAAACAAGTCATTTTAGAGAGTAAAAAAATCAGTTATAACAGAAAACACTAGACTGACCCTGTTTAATTTTAGTGGTGAGAGATAATTCATAATTAATTCATTACTTATCCAATTCATGCATAAGACCTACAAAATGATGATAATTTCAAAAAAAATCATGATTTTCTAAGCAAAACACATATATGAAAATAATTTACAACATCGAGACAAGACACGAATGAATTACTAGCCGAAAAGCGTATGTTCATAGAGTTGGTAAAATTCGCTTTCGTTTACAAAATATTACGGACTACCGATTTATATATCCCAAAAGATGGTAATTCTAATTACCATTACACATATTTTCTTTTAATAATTCCCACCGATCGGAGGAAGCGATCGATAGTAAATACCTAAACCCGTATCAAATATTTTTACAAGCATATTATACAAATAAAATCACATAGCTAGGTTGAGAGTCAACACAATCCACATCCCCTCCATATGATCTCTTTCCGATTCCCAAGCTCGATTCCAAGTTCACTCATCGGGCTCCAAATCGGGTATACCTACAAACATACAACACCTATATGAGCCGTTGAGGACTCAATGAGAAACTTGAAGTATTATCGAGTGCACATAACACATAGAGCATACATATATACATATATTTTATTATACATATACATACAACATAAATTAAAGCAATCATATACTTCCATTTTGGTCGGAGTTCTTCTTCGTTGTTCCTTTTTCAAGCGCATAGAGTGAGATAAATCCCACTTTTATAACCCTATGATCGGAGACCATAGAGTGAGAATATCCCACCTTTATAATCCTATGCCCTGACATTCGTATTTAAGATTATAGAGTGAGAATATCCCATCTTTATAACCCTATGATCCCAAGACCATAGAGTGAGATTTTCTCACCTTTATAACCCTATATCTTCAATACCATAATGCGACATGCATGACATGAAAAATCATCGGGACTCCCGTTGGAAAAATCAATGTAAGTTTCCGATAAATAACCTCATATTTTACGAGCCCGTCTATCTACGTGGAATCAAACCACCCCTAAGCCCTACGGTACCGACTCGTCGTACCCCGGTTATTTACTGTAGAAAGCCCGGGATTATTGTAGTCAAAAGTTTGCCATGCTGGAGAATCGGCTGGGTGTCTCATGATACCATCCTTAGTTCGTTCTTCATCATGCCACTTCATAAGGACCGCAGTTTTAGAATTCATAAACAACCTCTGCAACCTTGGCTTCAACGGGAAGTACCAGAATCTTTTTACAGGCACCTTCTGATCTTTATTAGATTTTTTCGATGGAAGATCATTCTCATCCGGAGTACTTTCTGGTGTGGTCCACCTTGGCTCATCACAAGTCTCACACTTGGTCTTATATTCATTCACGCCCCAGTATACCATGCAGTCATTTTTGCATGCATCAATCTTCTCATAATTTAAACCCAAATCCTTCATTATCTTCCGAGTTTCATAATAATTATTAGGCAATTGAACATCCTCTGGAAACGATTCTCTTAATAAGTAAGCAACAAGGTAAATGAACTATCACTCCAATTACCAAGACACTTTATCTAGAGTAATCGAATAATGAAAGAAAGTTTGGAAAACTTTTTACATCCAGGATAAAGTTCTTTTTCTGCATCTTTCATGAGCTTATAGAATTTCTCAGCTTCTTTACAAGGTCTTTCTACTTCCTCGATATTTGGAATTGTTTCTTCATCATTGATTTCATCATGCACGAAAAATGCATCATGCAACATTTCTTCCATGTTATCAGATGCATTCATATGATCATATTTATTTGACGGCACTTCGTTAGAGAATAACTCTCCATGAAGTAGCCATTTAGTGTACCCACTCAAAAACCCATTCCAGAGAAGATGTTCTGACACAACCGAACGTGTTTTGCATAGACCATTTTTACATTTTTTGCACGGGCATAAGATCATCCCATCATTTGAATTTGAGAAGGCTAAGTTCAAAAAATGTTGCAATCCTATTCGATATTCATTGCTTGACCTCGGTAGATCCATCCATGTTTTGTCCATCTAAGTATTTTTGGAATGAACCAGAAGTAATAAAAAACATAGAAGTAATACAATAATAAATTAGAAAGTAAGTGAGTAAGAAATAAAACTTTTACACTTCAAATCTTACGAATAATTCACCCAAGCAACCAAGATCTCTCCAGAAATTGAAATCACCTCCGTTGAGTGACTTAGACCCCTGATCATCATGTTTAATTAGAAGAAGTTAGTTTTAGAGAACAGTCGAAATAAAAATATACATGCATTATCAAAAAATTAACACGATTTGAGTACTCGATTAGACCTCCCCGTACTAAATCATATTAATTTGATTTACATATATCAAATTCTTATTATACCTACTGTACAAGTTCACAAGAATTACATTGAAAAGAGTCAGAGTTATAAGGAAACACCATATCTGGAACATGGAAAAAAAACATTTATGTCTGATTCCAACCATACACACCAACATCTAAGGTCATACAATTCAGTCAAACTCATTCTTTAGTAACTGAGCATTACTAGAGTCTAGAAGACGACCAATTCAGAACTCTTCCGAGAGTTCCTTTTTTTTATGACGTTTTAAGAGAAAAAGGAAACACTTAACAAATTTGTAGAACTCGACAATTCAACCGGTATTTATTTTATCGATATACAATATACTATCAAGTTTATATTTTAAAAGGAATTCATATATTACATATTTTTAACTATAATGAACACATAAACGTTCTCTCAACCATGGCAAAACATCTCTAGAATAATTTTAAGAATAAATCTAAACAAAAATATAACTAACTACTCACTGAAATACATATTGTTACAAGAAAAAAAAAATTACTAGTTCAAACACTTCAACTCACCACAAATAACTAAAAAAAAAATGGTTCAAACAATTATTTAAATCTGAACTATGTTCTGAAAACAGAAAAAAAAAAACAGCGGCGACCAAACGGGGGGGGGGGGGTGTGGGCCCTGGGGAACCAAAATCAAAGTTATAGAGGGAAAGAGATATGGGAGAGAGGGGGTATTACCCAAGATTAATTATTCCACCAAAATCAACCCCACCAAAATCATAGTTTTCTTATGGGTTTGCCTAATTGGAGCAACATGCGTAATCATAGGGTCATTTATATGTCAAATTTTATACATAAAACAAAAATTAAGTAAATGGAACTAACCTCACTTCAATAACCAGATGATGAACTTTTTTACCTTTTTGAGAAGGCAAAGCACGATACTTCAATGAAAGATAATTATTTGGCAAAGGAGAAACACCACCATCCGTATTAGAAGAGGAACCGTCAATTAGGGTAGTATGAATAGGAATTGTAAATTGGGGGAAGGAGAAGGAAAAAGGGTTAGTAAAAAGGTTGAGATAATGGGTTGTGACTTATGCCGCCAAATATTTCGAGGGTAAGGGGAAATTTTATGAATTAATTTAGGGAATTTTCCGCGCAGGTTTTTTGTTTTCGTGACAATTAATAGAGAATATACGACGCCTCATGAAAGTCGTCTCAAAATTAGTAGTCTATTACAACGGATTCCTAAAAAGCGTCATATTTGTTATATTCCGAGAATTAAAAAATTAAAAGAAAATGTAATATTGAGAAAATGGCCCGCTTCTAATTTTATCCGTCTTTATAGTACACTTTTTGAGACGATAATTAAAGAGTGTCATATTAGGGCGTCATTGAAGCGTCACAACAGCCTGATTTTCTAGTAGTGTAAATAATTGGGTTTATTGTTATTAGTTAGTTGTTATTAGTTAGTGGACGGTTATTTTAAATTTAGTGGCTAATTATTTTAGCACATATTTAATCAATTCACTAACCCATTAACTATTCTACTGTGTTATTTTTCGTGCGGAACAAGGAATTCTCGGATTCTATAAATAGAAGAGGTCCTCAGTTCATTTACTACTGATTTCTGAAGAGAATGGAGAGCAAAGAGTTTTGGTGTTGGAGCATTTTCTAATACAAAATTGAGTCTGTTTGTATTCAATATCATTGAGTATTAGTTTGTATTCATAGAGTTCTTTTATGCATAGATCGTCATTGATTTTAGAAATTCTTGTACTCTTCATGAAAGAGAAGATCATTACTTTTTTGTGTGTATTCTTTGAGTAATTTTTTAATAAAGTTTTTGCGCGTAAAGGGTTATATACTTTTGGATAATGATTTAAAACTTGTTTTATTTAATTTCTGCTACATAACATTTCTTTACACAAACTTTTATCAAATCATATATGTAAATCTCTAATTTTGTATTTTCTATATTAACTTACACGAAGTCAAAGGCAATAAATTTTTCCAATAAGTTAAATACAAATTTCTTACAATTGTTAAACTTGCACGATTTTTCCATAAAAGTTCACAAATATCAGTGATGAACCTAATGGTAGATCTCCATAATTTATTTCTTGGATACAACAAGAGGGAAACTTATGAAAATATTTCCAGAAGTACAATTACTCCATTAAGGTTTAATATTCTCAATATCCTTGACCTAATCAAATATATTCGTATCTCGTTACAACAGTTGTTGCTATACATTGCAGATTCAACTTGAGTCTTTCACACTTGATATATATTTATTCAAATTACATAATATTCATGTAATATTATGATTTACTTACTAAATACCACATTTTAATTTAAGATACAACCAATAACTTACGGGATCAATGTAGTATATAATAATGTAGCAACATGAACAAAACCATCGATCTGGAATATATCGAAGTCGAAGAATGATGTCACGACTCGGTTTTCTAGCCATTCTCCTTGGTGCATTTTTTGTTGTTACAAATAGAGCAAATAAAACATTTTATGATTACTATTCATATCTTTGGGGAACTGATCACTTTATTATTAATCCCGAAGGAACAGAAGTCCAACTAAAGTGTGATAAGTCCTCGGGTATACGACGATTCGTTATAAGACGAACGACTTAACTATTTTTTTTTTTTATGGATAAAGCTATTAATTATTTTGATTGAATATATAAATGGATTTATGTAGGTGCTGGATTCCGATCCAAATCTCAGTACGCATTCGGAGTTTTCCGTATAAAAATGAAGATACCAAATAAGAAAACTGGAGGGATTGTAACAAGTTTCTACGTAAGGGCTATCGATTTTTCTTCTTTTTTTTTTTATACATATATATATATATATATTTTTATGAAATTAAGTATCATATTAATAATGTTTATTGATTTTTAATTGGCAGTTAACTTCACAAGGAGATAATGAGGACCCAAATGCAAATCATTTTGAACTCGACTTCGAGTTTTTTGGGACAACCAATGCAACAATACAGACCAATGTTTTTATGAACGATAGTGGGCATAGAGAACAAGCTTTCAAACTTTGGTTTAATCCAGCATGGGATTTTCACACTTACGAAATTCGTTGGAACCCGTACTTGATACTGTAAGAACATGCATCCCTTACTTGCGGCTTTCTAATGTTTTCGTTTATTCTATGATGCACTGTACGAAATTCATTTTTGGGTAGATTTTTACTATTTATTTACACACAGGCGAATACACACATCCACGTTACGTGTGAGTAAATAATCTGCGAAAAATTTATCCGGTGTAGCTTAAATTTGATGGTTTCAATTTATTCTGTGTTAATATTGTATTTCACCTATAATATTAATTTATAACATAGGGCAAATTACGGTCACCCCTGAGTTATGGTCAAATTACGAAATCCCCCTCATCCTTGAGTAATTACAGCCACTCCCGTCAACTATGTATTACCTTACGAAAATATCCATCCAGAGGTAAATTTAGGGATGTTAAATCGGTAAAACCGAACCGAAATTTCGATACGCCAATATTTCATACCGTTTACCGAACTGAATATACGATTTGGTTTGATAAATAACTAAATTATATAATTTTATGTAAAAACATTTAAAAGGAGAGGATGACTGTAATTACCCAAATGTCTTTTTTTTCCCATAATTTGCCCTTATAACATATTATCCAGATTAGGAATAATAATAAAATGTGTCTAAATATGGAAACTGTCAGACTCATGGTAATTGTTCTAATAATATAAAGGAATATTCTAATATCTTTTTAATTTAATCATATATTTGTATAATTTATTATAGATGTATTATGGGATAATTAGCAAAACCCCCGTCTAGGAAAATGAGTTAAGAAAACACCCCCTCCCAAAAATAATTTGAGAAAACCCCATTAGCTAAAATCCACCCAAGTGATATTTTCATAATTCCAAAACTACCCTTAATTATCTAATATACTCTTTCAAAACCCTAGTCTTATTTTAATTTTTCATTCCGCTGCTTTTCTCTCTTCTCTGTTTTCTCTCGTCTGTTTTTTTTTTCCACCATTGTGTTTTCTCTCTTCGGTGGACAAACTGACTGCGGTGGCGGCGAGGATGGTGGTTTTGGGAATGGCACCACCGTGTTCAGCGTCACCAGTGGGGTGATTGGCGGCGGCAGAGGGAGATGGGTAAGGACCGTCGCCGCTTCTGGCGAGCATGACGAGGCGGGTCGACGGAAAGCTCATCGTCTCCCAGTTTAATCTGCCACCGACGCTTCGATCGTCTGGATAATTTCTTCCACAAGCCGATGACGGCGCTGCTCCTAGGTTGATCAAGAAATTCAAAACGATAGGATTTCTTAAGCGGCGGTGCAGACCGATCAAGAGAAATTGAAATTGTTGACCAGAGAGAGATATTTCAGAAATTGTTGTGAGAGAGAGTGAGCTTTTGGAAAAAGGGGTCTTCTATTATATAATACTGTATGTATATATTAAGTGATGTATGAATATATTAAGTGATGGTGATGAAACAATTCTTGTTAAGGATTGGTTGAATTGTGTGGTGCGACGGTGTGGTGACGATGGGGAGGCAAATTTAGGGTTTTTTGGTGTGACGGTGTGGTGACGATGAAAAGCATATCTAGGGTTTTTTGGTGGATTGTGGCTGAAGACGGCGCAGAAAAAGAAATTCGCGCAGGCAGGGCCCTTAATCGACTACGTGTGTTTAATCGACTATGTTCAATAGTCGATTAAGGCTTAATCGACTATGTTCAGTAGTCGATTAAGGTTAACCGACTCTAGTTGTTAATTTTTCTTTTTTTTTTTTTTGATTTTTTGTTTATTGATTCCAATGTATAAATCAATTACAATGTTTGTATATTTTTTTTAAATATAGTTGATTTTGCATTTTTTTTTAATTGTGATTTGTTATTTTTAATAGTTAAAATTTTAATCGACTATGCATTAATAAACCTGATAGAGAAAAAAATTAAAAAAACCAAAAAAAATTTAAAGACAAAATTAGAAACAAAAAAAATTAAAAAATTAAAGATTTTCCTTAATCGACTATGAAGCATAGTCGATTTAAGACAAATCGACTATGCTTCATAGTCGATTAAAAAAACGGAAAAAAAAAAAAAAAAAAAAATCACGGAGCGCTGACCCAGTGATGAGGTGGCGGACAGGGGTAAAGCTGGAAAACTTAATGGCTGAAAATGGGTGTCGACTTTTCTCAAATGGACTAGAATATTTTGGGCCTCCCTCAATTAAAAAAAATAGTGAGGAGGTTTTCTCAAAGAGCCCCGATGTATTATATGTCAAACTTTCACCTTTCTTTCATCATATTATAACTGAATAAAAGGGATTGACTTAATTCTAGTACTATATTAATAACTTTCTGATGATATATAATATATTAATAATTCAATTTGTTCTAAATTTGTAACAATGGTTGTGATTGCAGATTCTCCATTGATAACATTCCTATAAGAGTGTACTATTACACAGTACTTCAACCCTACCCGATTGTTCCGATGTACGTACAAGCAAGTATATGGGATCCACCGCCCGAATGGACTTGGCCCGGACCGGTCAACTGGGAAAACGCTCCCTTCATCGCGCACTATTCCGATTTCGGGTTCGACGCTTGCCCTACGCCCACTGCAAATATTAAGGAATGCTACAGCGATAGATACTATTGGAACAACCTTAGTTACATACAACTCAGTGACCATGAGAAAGAAGTGATGAAGACGTACCAGCAAAAGTATATGACTTACGACTATTGTGACAACCCTTCTACTAGGAAACTTGAATGCGTTTACGAAAACAAATAGTAGTGCACGAAAAAAGTATAGAACTATCGTTGTTGCGCAATGGTAACCGTAAACGGTTATTGCAACATATATATATATGTATCGAATTTCTATGATTACATCTATAACAAAAAATAATTGCTTATTATCGTCCGAGTTTTAATTTATCAAATTTTCAGTTATCACTTATCAGGGATCTTTGAAGTATATCGATAACGAATTATAGTTTATTTTCTTTATGTTTTTAATTAGGGATATCCGTAGTACATGAACTACTAGTTGAACATGTGACTGAAACTCATGATTGTACGTAAAATAATAAACCCGTAAGGTTGAGTAATTTTGACCGATGAATGTATGTCAAGTACCGTCGGTTAATGTGGTTTTCATCGATGCAATCGTATTGAAGGATATTTAGGGTTTCCATTTTTTTATTTGACTGTTCAAAAAGTTATCAGTAATTAAGTCTCTATATATATATTAGGTATATATAAGATTTTTATTTTATTGATTTCTTTGATGCTAATTATGGATATCAATTTGCATCATTTTTCTTATGAGATTAGTTATTTTAGTAATGAAGTCTATTTTTGAGTTCTTTGAAACCAATTGAAATATGGTTTGCCCGTTCTCTTTTATACTAAATTTTGGCATATTGTGAGTTCGGATGTCATTGTATGTATTCTCAATTTCCTTAATGACAAAATTCTTCCTCCTCGCTTTAACTTCACTTACATAGTTCTTATTCTTAAAACTAATCAACCCGAGCGTATCACGGATTTTAGACCCATTAGCTTATGCAACGTTATCTATAAATCGGCGTTTAAAGTCATAGCTAATCGCCTTAAATTGGTCCTTAAAGATCTAATTTCGCCTATCCAATCCGCTTTTGTTCCAAATCGTCTCATCACAGATAATGTCCTTGTTGCTTTCGAAGTAAACCACTACATTAGAACAAACTCAAATATCCGTACGCATTTTATGGTTGTTAAACTTGATATTAGTAAAATGTATGATCGGATAGAATGGTGTTTTGTTCAGGAAATTCTGCATCCATTTGGTTTACCTTCTTCTTTTATTGATCTTATAATGCTCTGTATCTCATATGTTTCTTATACATTTCTGTTTAATGGCTCTCAGTTTGGCTCCGTATCGCCATTGAAAGAATTTATGGTCCCGAACTCGTTTAATACAGAGATGTTATATTAAGTGCTATGACACTTGTATAAACATGCAACGGAAATATAAAAACAATACTCAGATCTAAAAATGTTCACAAGTAAAACTTGTGAATTTGCTCTTTACAGGACGGAAAAATTATATTAAAACAGTATTACACGAATACAAAGAGAAGATGTACGAAAAAAAAAATTCAAATCTAGAAACAAAAAAGATAAATACTAAAAATTCTAGATTTCAAAGAATGTACTCGTGAGGAGTACGTAAAGAATGTACTCATGAGGAGTACGTAAAGAATGTACTCATGAGGAGTACGTAAAGAATGTACTCAAAAGGAGTACGTAAAAATAGATTCTAAAAACACACTAAAAATCTCATGTATTCTTTTCAGCTCTCGGTTTTTATTTCTTAGAATCCGCAAATTCCTTGAGTCTTGAAGTCGGTATTTATAGACATTCCAAGCTTCCACTCCTCAGCCCATGATCTGCAAGAAAACCAACTACAAGAGCACTCAAGAACATGGGTTAGTGGGTTAGTTTAGTAGTTAAATAATATCCACAATTTAACCCACTAAGCACTACTTAGCCCACTAAGCAATATACTTAGCCCACTAAGCCATATACTTAACCCACTAAGCACTACTTAGCCTATAACTAAAATTTAGTTTAAAAATAAGAGAGTTAAAAAACAAATTGTGGAATTCCACATTCCTCGTGTTTCAAACTCCCCATTTTTTTAACTTTCTGATCAAAACTAAATTTTAGCTTAACTCCCCCTGAATATGATAACCAATATAGCAAATAACAAAATAGTGCAATCCTAGCATAAAAGTTCAGAGGGAAAATAACAAACTGAACAAAAACAAATATTGTTCATAAAAATAACTTTAAAGCAGAATATACAAAGTCTTCTCAGTATCAGTTGTTGTCTGTTCCTCCATCACTAGCACTAGACCCACTGCTTTCCTCTGCTCCTTCAGCTTCACCCTCATTCTTTTCTTCTTCTTCATTAACTCCATGCTCTCTGCCTCTTGCATCCAAAGGATGAGAAGTCCCTGCTTCAACTTCATGACCAGCTTGTTCTCCCCATTTTTTACCAGAAAGAGCTTTTTGGAGCATTTCCACCATGGACTGGTGATAAATGATCTGAGCTAGGGATTTATTAAGCTGTTGTAACAAAGAAGCTCGACGAACATAAACAAGGATGTTAGGGGTGTTGTCAACATGAGGAGCAACACCTTCAGTACCAAGATTATTTTGTCCCGATTCAGTTGGGAGAAAATTATCTCCATTCCAGGGAAGATCTTGGACATGAGGAGCTTTTAGAAAATTTTGAGAAACAGTGATCATGCCAAGTGGAGTGTGAAGATATTCTGATTCATCTTGGCCCAAATTTTGAGAAAGCAGAATGGAGTAGATGAGAGAAGGATATGGAAGATGAGTGGAGGATGAAATTTTCTGGGCAAGTTGACCTATATTGTTTAAGAAAAGTTTGCCAAAATCAATAGGTAACCCCATCCCCAATTTGTACATGTGCACTGCATGAGGTTTAGTAATCACAGAGACATTTTTGGATGGAATCCAATTCATCAATGTGAGTCTGAACAAGACAGAGAAAAATGCAGTAAGTTGAGAAACTTTGAATTTTTTGGGGTGAGCAGGCCAAGATTTTAGCCGATTGCCAGAAAGAGTCTTACAAACCTCAGTAAAATCAGCATAATTATCCTCATCAATCACAGTAGGAGTTTGTAAATGAGAGTTGATAATTTTGGGAGAAAAGGAGAAAATGGAATTTCGCACAAAAACTTTTCCAAAGTTTGGAGAATTTTTCTTTAAAAATGAGGTTTGTAAATTGGCATAAAATTCCTTCACAACAGAGGGATCATAAGGACATGCAACCTCAACTAGACTAAGGATTTTTCTTTGATCAAGAAAAACAGTGATCCTATGTCTATCAAACTCATCCTTGGAAATTTTCTTTTCCTCAATGAATTGGCAATTCATGATTTGAGGACTCAAATTTGAATCAGATTCAAAATAAAGAAATAGGACTGAAGGCATTGTTTACCTCAAAAGGAGTTGACAGATCCTTCCCATCCAAGTCGAGCATTTCTTCCTCTGAGGATTCCTCTTCTTCTGAGTCTTCAAGTTCATCAGATATGTATGCTGGCTCAGGTGATGCAACAGGTGGAGCAACATCTTCTTCCATCTGAGATGAGTCCTCAGAAGAGTCACTGTCTGACTCTGAGGATGGCAAGTTCTTGCGGAAGGAGGCAAGTGGAACTTCCCAGCTGTCATCACTTTTCTCTTCTTCTTCAACCTGGGAAGGTGATGCATCCACTTCGACAGCTGCCTCTGCCAGAGTTTCCAGAGGATCTTCATGTGGAGCTGAGGGTGTTTCTTCAGTGGTGGTAAAATCCTGGTCATCAACAGTGGGAATATCTACATGCACAACGGAGGACATCCTAGAAAAGTCAGGCATTTCCTTATCTTGGTAGGGAGCAGCATCCTCAGCAGCACTCTGAGGGGCATTGGCTGAGACAGTAGGTGCAGCAGCATTTGCAGAAACATGTGCAACAACATCTTCGGAAACAGGATGTTGAGAAGAGGCTGCTGCCATGTTAGGCTGAAGTGTCTCCCCCTGAGTTGATGCTGGTGGAGTCGAGTCTTTGGAAGATGACTCAGTGGAGCTTGAGGAGAGAGCTTGGGCTTCTGCGTCTGCAAAGGTAGGATCTCCTTCTTCATCATCTGTTTCTTCATCAACCAAATGAAGGCCTCTTGGTGGGTTTAGCCTAACTGGAGTACGACCGCCTCTTCCTCCTCTTCTTCCACCTCTGCCGCCTCTGCTAGGAGAATTTCCTCCCCTCCGACGTTGTGACCCAGTTGCATTCAGATCTGGGAAGGGATTCATGCGCTTGGACCGGCGAGTAGGAAACCTTCCTCCAGTGGAAGAGGGACCCACGTTCTGGAAGTTGTCTGGGTCAATCGGATTCAGCTCGTCTCCGGGCTCAATAAATATGATCGGCATAGCTTCAAGGTTGACAGGATGAACGATGATGGCTAGATTAGGATCTGCTGGTTCAGGTGCTGCAGCATCGTTGTGGAGATCACCAACAACTGGAAGAGGATTTCTAGGAGGAGATGCCATGTTACAGTAGAAAAAAAATTCTTCTTGTGCTCGTGATTTTGCAGTGTGAATTTTCGAAAAAGAAGCAAGAAATTTGTATGCCCTAATTTTTGCAGAAAAATTGAAGTGGAGAAGGTGAAGAAGTGGTGTGCGTTTTTCTTGTAAAAAGTGTGATTAAGGAGAATAAAAGTTTATTTGGCAGTTTAAAACAAAACGTGACACATGGCACAATAAGGAGTGAATTTAGTGGAAAATAAAAGACTAACCCATGTAACCCATGACCCATATAAATAGTGATAATGCAATAAACATAATAATAATAGTAATAAAAATAATAACACTCACAAAATTTACACTTAATTAATAAACACATCTTTTAGTGTAGTAGTGTGAGAAAAAATGGCTAACAGGCATAGATAAGTATAATTTTTTATTTTTTTTATTTTTTTTATTTTATAAAACTCTTATTTTCAAGTCAAACAATTCACTTGGAACATGATCAAGTCTTCAGTTTGAAAGTTCCTCAGTTACTAAGATATGACTATTCAGATATAAGAGTTTGACTTATGTGATTATAATTGTTCTCTGAATGTTTACATGAAGCATGATCACGTTTCAAGGTAAAGACTTCCAGTTACTTATTTAGAGACTAATATATCACAGTGTAGCCATTATTTAAAGAAGCTAAGCTTCAGTAAATTATGTTGCAGCTTAAG